TCTGCAAAGCAGCATAACCTCAGAAAATGCACTGTTAGCCTTCTGGTAGTGTGACAAGTAACTGGCTGGTTATCCATAATTGACTGCTCTAAGACTAAATGCCTGGAAAGTTCTCACTCAGTTTATTGTCTTTACAGTGGATTTTTTAGTATTTAACCTGTCCGTGTGAGTACTGATGAGCTGATCTCTTCAGAGCACTTGTTCATCTGAAGCAAAAGGCAGGTACAGGTTGGGGAACATTCCACAAGATTCATCTAATCTTGTGGATCTTTCATGCCACTCTGTAGCTGGCTAATAGGTCTAAAAGGTCTTCCATGGATGTAACATGACAGCCAAAGTTAATTTACTCAGTCATTCAGTCTCGGATTCCTTGATTTTTGATGATACTTGGCTGTTGGCTTTTTGCTCTGCCCTAGTCTGGGAAGAAGTAAGTCTCCATTCAGGGTGGGCAGGCACGGAGGGAAGATGCTCCATGCACTGCCACTGTAGCAGAGTGGATACACTTGGCTTCAACCATTTGGTTGTGCAAAAGTGAGTCTGATTTTGAGCACAGCTGTGAAAACCAGGGTAGCTTGAGCTACAGACTGGTTCCTGCTACTCCAGCTTTCAGATATTCTTACTGGTGCCTTTTTTAAGCCAGTCTTGCTCTACTGAGTCTTCATAGATGCTTAACCTATGCTGCTTTAATGTCACTTCTCTGAGGCTTAACAAGCTGGTTCTGCTTTCTGCCTAAACTTATCCATGGATGGTTAGTGTCCATTTAATCTCATCTGTATTATTGTTTTGCTTCAACAGCTCTTTTGCCATCTAAGGACTTAAGGCCATGCATTCTTAGCATTAGACTTCTGTTATTTTAACCGTGCCAACTTTTTCTTCGTGTTCTTTTGTTATGTAGGTTTCCTCTTTCCTTCACTGTATTTGTAGCTCTTCTTGGCACTACTTCAGTGCTCTACTAAGATGAATTGAAGCTGGTAACTGGAATCATACACTGCTTTCTAAAAGAGGTCTCATCAGGGCCTCAGACAAAGGCACTGAAACTTTCCCATTCTTATATGAAAAACTTTCCCAGAAATACATTTCCCATTGGAATGGATTTTTATATGTACATATATGTGTGTATATTTATATGTATGTATTTCATATATCTATATCTATCTATCTATATATTTCTGCCCCCGCCAGGCTTTGCTATAAGGCTTATTTTTACTGAGTCATCTGTCGCTTCAAGCTGATGAGCTCCAAATCAGTAGCATAAAGCCTTGTTTTTAGTTTGCAAGCATTCATCCTTGTCTTCTGCACCGTTGAACAGCATTATTGGTAGTCATGGGAAATAACAGCCTTCTTGGGGAAAGGAATATTTATAAATGTGGTGTCAAAGCCCTAATCCTGGGAGGTATTGGCCTCTCCCTGACTGCTAAATACCATCACCTCTGAAACAGCAATGGAAGCTGGCAATACCATAGTGTCTTTTGCCTCCAGCCATAGATGACACCCTCTCTTTCTCCTAGTCATGGTTTTTCATGAGCAGCACCTTATCAGCTATTTCACCAGCATACTGCTTCACTTGCCATTCTACCAGGAGCCCAGCTTAGGCCAGACTGACTTTCTACGAGGCAAGAGAGCTGCACTGTTGTGGTCCAGATATTTGCAAATGAGTGGACCCTACCTGAAAGAGAAGGCCTGAGCTCTGAGAGGAAAGATGGGCAAGCTTCTTACTTCAGTAGCAAAACTGCCTTGGAAAAATGGCTGTTCCTGGAACCCAGCAGAACATGCAATATATTCTCATTACTGAGCAAGCTAACATCTGACTCTAGGGCCAGTGGGCACTTGTATGCCTCAAGATTAAATGGTTTTGTTTCTTTTTTTTTTTCTTTTTCTTCTTTTTTTTTTTTTTTTTTTTTTTTTATAGTATTATCATGTGCAAAACTCCTTCAGGCTCAGGCTAACAGCTCTGTCTACCTATGACTATCTCAGCAGTTCTCCAGTCTGTTAGAAAACAGTGATAGTCTTCCCCCAAAGAGAAAGAGGCTATGCTGAGGCCGGAGCTAATATGAGACCTCAATTTGAAGCAGATAAAAGTGTTCAGTCATTGAAGTGGAGATTAAAAGTTTTGTAAGCTCCTTTACTTATTCACTTAGTCTGGACATATCACAAGACACTCAAGGTGATGGCAGCATGTGAAGTGCTTGTCAGTTCTAAGGGTTTGGCTTTCATTTGTCTGACAAGGGAAAGCAATCAGCTTTGAGCCTGGAATGTTATTTCTTCCTGTAATATAGAGATGACAGTGGAATTACAGCAAATAAAGATGGGGGGGTTCTTCAGAGCCATCTTCCTTCCCACAAGCTGGCAAGAGTCATCATAAACTGTTCCTGATAGACTTGTCCAACCTGCTTTTAGTGTCTATAAGATAATCCTGGAATGAAGATGCTACAAGCATGCAAGGGAATCTATCTCCATGTTTGATAGTGTCTTCCCCCAAACACGCTGCCTCTCCTAACAGTGTTGCAGAGTTAGAATGGCTCCATTTCTAAGAAATTTTTATTTTTGCTTTCAGATCATGTCACCATAAAGCTTGTAGTGCGTTTCCATGACATCTTCATTGCCTCTGTGGACTTCTCTTTCTATGACTGTGCTGCTGTTGCCCTGCTATGGAAATCAGCACCGTGAGCACCTGGGGTTTTTTTTATAGTTATGGGGAGGGTGACTGCCCCTCCTGGGTCATCTTAGCAGCTGTTCTTCTCTCACTGTCCCAGGTGCCAGAAGTGTGTGAGCAGTCCCTGGAGATGTAACTGGTGCATCCAGCAGCACCTCTGCACGCACAAAGCGGCCTGTGAGGAAGGAACTATTATTTACAACGAAGGGGTGAGTCTCCTAGTCATTACTAACAACCTCCTTGTGTTCAGGAGAGTCAGGTCTCTTCTCAGGTCAAATAGCACCTCTCAGTTGTTTCATGCACAGAGCTGAGCTGCCCGCACTGTTACACGGCCTCGCTTGGTTTCAGGGAAGGCGCTATCAGATGAGAACCCAGACTGGGTGACCCAGGGAGAGGAGTGTGACCTGCTTCAAGAGGGCGAGGGACAAGAGGAAGCCTGCAGGGAGCTGGCAGTGAGGTGGCAGAGCAGCTGCTTTTGTGGCAGCCACAAGGCACCTTGCCCTGTTGTGAGGGATGAAGGCCATTGGGTTCCCTCTGAGTAGGGGTGAGCACAAACATGTCTAGGACAGAGATTGCAGCTGAATCTGTGAGCACTGCCTGGCCCCATCCCAAGACAGGTGCTATGAGGTCTAGTTCTCCTCTCTGAAATGCAGTGGGGGAAGCAGCCTCTTGTAAACATTGCTACAGGAAGCAATAATCTATTTTCTGTTTATCTTTTATTGTGTTTTGTTCTTCCCTTCTCACTCCACCGTGTTTTTTTCTTTCTAGGCACAGCTTCCAACCTCAAGCCTGTTTCTGTCTTCAGCAGCTCCCCCCAGCAAGTCCTTTACCGTAGCACCGACAGCAGCCACCAAACCTGTCACTCCCACCGTGCCTGCGGCGCAGAGCTCCGTGCCCCCCACGGAGCCTGTCCCTGTCACAGCCTCCGCGGTCTCGGATACGACGCCTGAGCCCGTGGGTTCCCTCAGCTACACGTACCCGACTCTCTCATCTGAAGCTGCCTCTCTGCAGGCCTCCACAGAATCCCCCCTGCCGCCACCAGCGGACAACCCCGCTGTCACAGAGCTGGACACAACCTCCTCTGCTGCATCCGTGTTCCCCAGCCCAGCGCAGCCTGTGGGTGACACAGAGCTGCCCACCTCCGAGGCCGGAGCCACTGCCCGGGAGCCATGGCCCACAAACCCACCCACCACCATGGTGCCTAGTCCTCTATACACATCTGTGGCAGGAGAAGCATCGTCTCCTCATGTCAACAGTTTCACTTGGCCTCCCAGTTCTGTTCCCTCTACTGAGGCTTTGACATCTGCCATGCCGTCTCCCCAAACCCACAGCCATAAACCGGAGGTGCCTGTTGCCTCTGATGACTCTTCCAGAGAGCTGGGAACTAAACTACTCACTTCAGACCTCCCACCATCAACTCCCCCAGACTGGCTGCTAGGGGAGGGCACGGAGCTCCAGGACACAGAGGACTGGATGGATTTGCTGCAGGCTGAGAATGAAACATCTCCCTTCTCTGCTTCTACACTGCTCTCGGGCGATGGGGATTCTTCAGAAAGGGACACCCCTGACTTTCCCAGGATCGTCCATCCTGACCTTGACTATCAGTATGATGCCCCTGGGTTCTGGGAAGAGGTAAGTCACTGGGCTTTGCAGTCTGCAATCCAAGGCTGTAACGCTTCAAAATTTCAGTAGAGATTGGTGATCTCATTTCAGCACACAGGAGAGGTGGTGATCCTCTAGAGAAAAGAAGCTGACAGCTTTAATGTGCAGGGTGAGAATTGGCACCCTGAGAAAGGAAAATGTGTGAGAAGAGGTTCCAACACTTTGTAGAAATGCTGCTGGCCTGGAGGTCACAGTTGCTGTGATGTCTGGCATGTTCACAGCTCTCTGCCGTTCACCACTTCAGGCTCCTGCTTTGCTTTCTGCAAAGAAGTCCAGCTTCCCGCTCCCGTTTCTCTCACGGACTGTTAGGGTCTGATTGCCTCTGTCAGAGCTGTGGAAGTCTCTTTCTCTAAAGGTGTGTGTTTGTTTTCAGAATGAAGAGCTTAGCTGGGGTCCTGACGCGTGCCCCTGTGTGCAAGGGATCCAGGGATCTTCACTGTTTCCAATCAATGTGGCAAGGAAGATAACTCTTCTGGGAAAGAACTTCCACCTCTATCAGGTTGTCAGCTGCTATTTCCATTAGCTTTGAGAAACTGGAACTTTTGTAGAACCGAACGGGCTTTGGGCAACCTGTTCACTGGGCTGCTAAATTTACTTGAAGGAGGTGATTGGGCTCTGCCTAGGTTTTTGCTGCTGGAGAAATAGCAGATCCATAGATAAGAAATTACATAGTTAGACCAAATGGTGGGTAGGAGGGCAGCCAGGGAGGAGAGTTACAGGTATGGACAAACCCATGAGAAAGAATCTGCATGTGTTAGCATTAAATGGCACCTATGTCACACTGCAGGTGACAGATTTAGGTCTCCATAAGCTGAAGATAAGCTGTTCCTTTTTGTTTCTGGCCTACTAATATTGATGTGGCTATTCCTGTCATACCTGAAACTTCTGCAATGGGGAAAACCAGCCCTTGAAAGCTGCATTCCTTGGGTGTGCCTCTGATAAAAGTTCTGCTTGCTTCTCGAAACAGAAGACTGATTTACTAACCTCTTACAAATGACCACCTTGGAGCATACAGCCCACAGACTAATTGCTACTTTATACGTTAAACCTGATATATTACATTGCACAGAGGAGCAGAGCTGCTTACAGATTTGTATCTGTCTTGTTACAGAGGTTGTCTACACAATTAAGTAGAAAATTTGTAGGAGAGAAAAGAAAAATATCCTTACTATTTCTGAGGTGCACTGCATTAATCTGCACCCTCTGCTCTTCATTTCCAAGCTAGTCTCAGATCTGTACAGGTATAACCTCATAGTCCCACCATTTTTTCCTTTAAATCTTCTTCCTGTGTCGAGTTCTGCCCACACCAACATTCATATGCTTCCTTCTAGGAATGTTGTTTTGTGTTGGTTGTGATTCCTTTCATCAGAGGCTTTGAGAGCGTAGAGAACCCTTCAATGCAGCATAAAAATGGTTTAGTGAGGGGAATGAGGGGAGCACAGTGCCTACGCAGTAAGCATCATGGGACAAGGAGACAGGAGCCCGCAGTCCTGTGCCAGGAAGCTCCATGTGGTTGAGAAATGGTGCTCAATGTGTCTTCCCATCTGCAGGACCAGCAGTGGGACTATGAGTGTGTCCTGAACTTGGAGGGGAGGACAGTGGTGATGGAGGCTTATGTGGAAGGGGAAGAAACAAACCAGTCCCTGTGTTATATCACCTGTCAGCTGCACCAGGTGAGTGCTTGGGGTGTGTGATGCCATTGCAGAGCTCACACTGATCTGGCTTGGCTTGGCTGGTTTGGCAGGCTGGGAAGGGAGCTCTTCAGGGGTGCAGAGCATGTTTTGCTACAACATTCATAAGATATTTGGTATTATGAGGCCCTCATCTGTGATGCTGCTGCCTGGTGGTAATGGCACCTTCAGCCTGTGGAAAGGTGGTGCTGTCTGAGCCGCAGGGTCTGCTGGTGCCCTCGCTGCAGCGTAGAACGATGCTAGTTTTGAAGCATCACTTAGTGCTGCCTGCAAGGATGGTGCTGTTTCTGCTTTAGCTTGAGTCACTGTTTGTGTTTTTCTGGACTGTGATTTTTCTCTGCAATGGTGGTCCTTTTGTGTAAAAACAAAAAAATATATAGATAGATACAAATTCTGGTTTTAGTGATGGAAGCTAGCCTATGGATTATATCAGGCACAACAAAATAGCAATGCATTTTTCAGGATGTGTGGATTTCACCTGAGGCAAGATTTGCAAGTGGAGGTGATCATTTTAGTTTGCAAACTAATCTAGTTGAGGGAGAGGAACAACATAAGCTTTTTTGGACAAGCCCTGCAGAGCAATTATAATACTGCAATGAATTGTGCTGAATTGCTCTCTTGAGCAATTCTCTGAGCAGGTGGCTTGTAGGTAGAAAGCTATGTATTTAAGAATACAATTAAGAATTTAGACAAGTAATTGCATGAGTAGGCGAGTGTGTTCTCCATGCTTCCCTGGTGAACCAATGTCTGCTGCTCTTTCTAGTACAGGTATTGTGGCTGTGGGAACTAGTGAGGGCAGGTTTATGTTGCTATTGCCTCAGTTAATGCTGCCTTGACTAGTTTTGCTGCCAGAAGTGGTCTGGCTGCATTCACAGGAAGCTCCATCTGGGCTATATATGGCCCAAGGCGCTGTGTAGGAGAGACCCTGAATTTGTTTGTTGAGCTGGCTCATTTTTTGCCTCCCCTACGTCCTTGACTTTGGTCTCTCTCTGCAGTACAGTTACACGGCACCTCAACTCGAGTTCAACGCTGTGGTGTTTGTGCAGAGGCGGCGGCACCTTCGAGTGGACAGTGCTGCAGATCTTCACGGTAGGAGTGCAACACCTCCCCAGCAAGAAGACAGCAAGGGGGGTGGAGGGAAGCTGAGAAATCCTCACCTTTTTGCAGCGGTAGTGGTCCTATCCCAGGGAAATGGGAAAAGCTCTACAGTCTTGTCCCCAAGAGAGGGCAGGGGATGGTGTCTCTCTGTGCTCTAGATGGTACTTGCAGATGCATCTGAATATTTCTCCCTTGTAGTGACTTTCTACAACTGCTCTGTGGGCCACACGGATTGCAGCCGCTGCCAGACAGCTGACTCGAAGTACAACTGTGTGTGGTGTGGAGGAGAAAACCCCAGCTGTATCTTCAGGGGTTCCTGCAAGGAAGAGGTAGAGGACCTGTGTCCAGCACCTCTCATTCACTCTGTGAGTAACTTGCTCGTTAGTGTACGACACTTGGGACAAGGAGGGCTCCATCCTCCAGCTGAGGCCAGAAAATCTGAACTCAGATTGCAAACAGGGCAGCTCAGCTGTGCACTGGCCACCTAAAGAACATGTTAGTCTTATTCTCCTCTGGTTCCTCGGTGTTGTGGCGGGAAGACACTAGACTTTTCTGCTGGGCTGTCAAGGGACTAATGGAGATCAATTGGGAAAGATGCATTTGTACCTCCTGCAAGCTGAAACTGTCACCCTGGAAGAAACAGAATCATCCAGCAGCTAGGAATGGGGTCCACAGCTGGGATTCTCTGACAGTTTTTGAAGCAGATTGGCCCAGCTGAGCCTGAGGAAAAGGAAGACAAAACCTAATGTTAATGGTTCAGCTGGGATTGAAAAGGCACAATGGGTTACTGGGATTAATGACTTCTGTCTGTTTATTTTGCATGTTTCTTGCTAACTGCCACATGACAAATGTCTGTAGCCGTGTGTCCCTTTTGCTGTCAGTTTGTCCTTCCTCCAGTGGCACACGACTTCCATGTGCTGCATCTTCTCGTAGCTTGTCTTGGCTGCTGTTCAGGGCCAGAGCTTTGAGGTTTGTGCAGCATGCAATTCATGTTGTACTGATGCTGAGGAGGAGGATGGTGCCTGCTGCTTCAATATTGGTATCATGTATTAGAA